ATGAATTTTAAATTTTAAAATTAAAAATATTTAAATAATTTCTGATTTTTTTTATTTTTTATTTTTTATTTTAAATTAAAAATAAAAATGATTAAAATACCTCTATGTTTAAAAGTATGTCTTTTTAATAAATAAGGATATATTTATGAACTAAATTTGATACAAGGAACTATATATATATATAAAAATTAACCCCTCTCTGTATCTTTTTGTTGTAATAAAAGCAAAATGAAGATTTCTTAGAAGTTAATTTTAGAACGAGTATTGATAAATCTGATCTCAAATATTTGAGTCGAAAAATTCTTTCTTTTGATTTTTCTTATGCGCTTAGCTACCTTTATTTTCGTTCAAGCGCGCATGTATGTTTTTGTCAGTTCGCTTATTATTTTTAGCTTATGCTAAATTCTATTTTGTTTTCTCTTTTGATGAAAAAACAGTTTGCTTTCACCTTTTCTTGTTTTTATTTGTCTCCTTGCTTTTATTTCCTTTCCTTCCTTCAATGAAAGAGATTTTCACAGAGACAATAAGTTCAAGCGTTGGATGAAATAACATCTTTTTAAGTTTCCTTATTATATAAGAATTGGAGTATCTTAAATACTCTTATATTTAAATATTTCTTTTACTGATAAAATAATAATTAACCTTTATCATATTTATTATCTATCCTTTTATATATAATATCATAAAAATGTTATAGTTGTGATTTGGTGTTTTTTTTATTTATTTAATAGGGTCAAGTGGATTAGAAGTTATTCATCATATTTATAAAGGTTATACAACAAATGTCATTTTAGACATAAACGTAAAACTGTGGCCGAAATTATAAAAATCATGGCATAAATTTAGGTAGCGATTATCTCATGGTAACAACTTTTAGTACACAACTTTCTTAAAATAGTTATTTAAAATCCTAATTACAACATTCATGATTTCTAACACGATTTAGATCCCCATTATATTTTTGATTTTGATTTAAGTCATATTTATTAAACTATTTTATACAAAATATGTTTTTGTTTATACAAAACTTAAAGATGGAAATTTTATATACGTTTTCAAATTATTACCATCACACAATTTATAAACAAGAGTCACCTATTTGGAAAGGATATATTGATTTATAAATAAAATGAAAAAACAAAAGTCAAAATACAATTGTCGGATACAATTTTTTTGCTTTATGTAGAAAAGGCAAATTATGGAAGTACATAAATTATATAATAAATATGCAAAAACATAACAAATGAAAAGAATATAGGAAGGTTGAACATACACACGTACCATGGAGGGACGTACTCGTTTGAGACCGGTCACCAAATCTGAACCATGGGCTCTAATACCATTTGTAGGGAGGTTCAACATACAAATAGATCTCTATACTAGTAAGATATTGTCCGCTTTGGGCTAAGCCCTCACAAATTTGCTTTTGGTAGCATTCCAAAAGGCCTCTTACCAATGGAGGTATCTAATGTGTATATAAACTCATGTCCATCTCTTGTTTTATCTAATGTGGGACTTTGTTTGTACCTAACAATTTATTGTTCCAAGTGTGAGTCCAAGTCTCACATTGGACAGAAATGAGAAAGTAAAACACTATACAAAGGTGAAAGACCCATTAACTCATTACCTTAAGGTTTTTGGTAGAGAGTGGTGTTAATCCCTTATATGGTTGGGCTCAGATGTTATTGGTGTTTGTGTCTCCCAACGTTGCCAAAAAGTGAATTTTGCACCGTTGCAAAGAGAACGTTGCACAACGTTTCTATTCTTCTTTTGCAATACAATAATATTTCATAACAAAACTTCATCTTTGATAGACTCAATTGTGGTATCACAACTTTATGCTTTGAGTACCGAGAGAGAAAAAAAAGTGGAGAGAGTCAAACACCGTGAGAGAAAAAGTGAGTGCTTGATTTTTTTGTGAGAAAGATGACAAAGGTAATCAATGGGATGAGTGTGTCACAACTGTCGGAAAAGACTGATTACGACAATTGGTCTTTGCAGATGAAGGTTCTTCTTGGATCCCAAGATGTATGGAACATAGTGGAGGACAGATACAATGAACCCGCGGATGATGAGCATTAGACAGTGAACCAGATTGCTGCATTGAAAAAGACAGGAGTGAAAGACAGATCGACTTTGTACTTTTTGTATAATGTAGTGGATGAATCTAGATTCGAGAAAATAGTTAATGCAAAGTCAGCAAAGAGAAGCATGAGAAATTTTGAAGGTGACATACAAAGGAGATACCTGCGTGAAGCAAGTCCGAGTACAAGCTTTCAGAAGAGAGTTTGAACATATGGTGATGGATGAAAAAAAGGGAGTTGTCGAGTTTATAGCTCGAGTGCAGAAGATGGCCAACCAACTCGAAATGAATGGAGAAGAGGTTCCTCATAACCGGGTTGCGGAAAAGATCAAATCTGACAGATGATTTTGAAAGTAACGATCACTATTGAAGAGACAAAGGATTTGTCAACTCTCACTGTGGAGGAGTTAGCTGAGTGATTAAAAGCCCACGAATTGAAGAAGAAAAAGAAAAAGAGGGAACCCGACGATCAAGCACTACAGGTACAGTTTGACTCGAATAAAACTCGGATTACTCAAAGTCGAGGTCCTAGCGGCAGATGGCGAGGAAGTCGAGAACGAGGTGAACATGGCTGAGGTAATTTTGAGAATGATAATGAAAAACAAACCGGACAACAGAATTGGCGTGGTCGAGGACAAGGAAAAGGCTGAGGAGATTGGTCAGGAGTTGAGTGTTTTAAGTGTGGCAAGTACGACCACTATGCAAACGAGTGTAGATAAAAAAAGTGCTACAATTGTGGTAAGTCCAGTCACGTTGCTAAATTTTGTTGAGCTGAGAAGAAAAGTGAGAGAAATCTTCTTATGGAAGAAGACTAAGAAAAGTGTGAAATCTTGTCGATGTCGGATGCAATGGACATGGAGAGCCCGATCCCAATAATGGATGAAGTGATCACGGTAAAGGATGCACCAATTGTGGAGAAGGAAAACCTGGAGAAAGAACTCAAACAAAAAAATGAAGAGATTCAACAAATAGGGAGGCTTTTAAATGAAGTTAATGATGAATAAACAGAGGGTTGAGCTTGAGGAGTTGAAGAAGACGACTCTTGAAAAGGAAGGGAAAACATCTAGTGTTCTTGAACCAGACGAAGAGGAAGATGAAGATGTTGAGAAGAACCCGATTAAGAAGTCGGTAAAAATTGTTAAGATATCACCTAAGGTCAGAAACGAGTTGGTCGAAGTTATTCAGAATGCGAGCATAACAAAGCTAATCAAAGCATCAAAGAGGTCAATTAAGGTAAAAGATAGGAGGGCCATAAGGAAAAAGAAGAAGTCAAATCTGATCTTAAGAAGCAAACCCGGTGTGGGATGATGAAAATGGAAAGTTGAATGAAGTAAGGAAGAATTTAAGTTTATGGGGGAGTTTATTGGGATAAACTTAAATTTTAGAGTTTTATTAATAATTTTGTTTAGATCTTATTTTATTAGTTTTGGATCTAGTAATATTTAATTTGATTTTGATAGAGATAAAATGGGGATAGGTAGTTATGATTTTCTGCTTATCTAGGTACAATATTATTTTATGATAGATTAAGAAGAGTTTATTTTTAAGATAATTGATATTTTATTTTTAGATTTTATTTTTATTTCCGTAATATTGTAAGTATCACGGCTATTTAAAGCCCTTTAATTATCAATGAATACCAAACTCAATTTTAGGAAAATATTAAAGTGTGTGTATGGTGAGATCTTCTCAACAATGGTATCAGAGTGGATGGTTTATCTTGGTGACCGGCTCAGACGAGTATAATGATCCATATACCGAAAGTCTTCCTGGCAAAGGGTATTAAGGTAAGCAAGTCTTGTTAAGATGAACGGTGGTTGGAAAGGGCTACTCGTGGTTGTGGTTGGTTAGGAATGCTTCCGCTGGAGGGGGAGTATACCTATGTGGAAGGGACTCACCCTTGAGGGGGAGATTATTGGGAACCCAAGCGTGAGTTCAAGTCCAACATTGGATAGAAAGGAGAAAGTAGAGCACTATACAAAGGTGCGACCCATTAACCCATTGTCTTAAGGTTTTTTGTGGAGAGTAGTGTCAATCCATTATATGGTTGAACTTAGATGTCATTGATGTTTGTGTCGCCCAGATAAAATCTCCTCCTTGATAAACTCAACAAAGAATTGAATAAGTGTAAAAGTTGAAGTATGAAAATATTAAATTGAAAGAAAATGGGATAAATTTTTAAAATTGTATGGTTTATTTCTTCTTAATAATTTATAGGATAAAAACACCTTAAACATAAATTTATTTTTGAAAAATTCATCACTAAAACACATTTTATGCTTTTCATTGTCATTCGCAGTAAAAGAAAGACCTATAAATCATATGGATCCGAACGTATCTGGTTTCAATTACTTTACACTTCTTTTTGTATTAATTAACCGAGTTTACAAAACTATAATTTTGATTGAACCATTGTTCTCTTTTTTCCTCCACGTGACACGTCCAATCCCATGCAAGGATACGGAATATTCAATATTGAATAAAGTCTTGGTTAATTCCTTGACCAAAAAGCAATTAAAAATATCTATAATGAAGAAAAGAGAGGAGGGAAGTGATAACACTAGAAATGAATTAAGGAGATGAAGAATTAAAAGCCCTACAAGCATAAAGATAATATAGTACTTACTGCATTTTCTTTAACTGGAATAAAACTACCATATCTTCCTCGATGTTACAGCATAAATCCTAAAGCTTCATGACGTGTCGCACACAAAGACACAAATATAATATATATAAACCAAAAGGTGACGAACCAAGGGCAGTCGAATTGGACTCTGAAGCTTCTCATTCACACTCTCTTGGTTATATAAGTCAATAAAAATCTGAACAAGACCACCCTGAGATAGATATAGCTAGAAAGAAACACTACACAAGAAAATACGAGGAACCCTCCCATCATCAAAAGGCTTTATGTATATAATATAATAATAATATCATATAAAATAAAATATACGGAGTGAAAGTGATGATGGTCATTGATTATAGGTCATTGGTCAAAAGAACCAAGCCAAGAGAGAGATTAGCCGTCGATCATATCCATGCACATCATCATCACCTGAGTTGTGACTTGAGATTTGGATTTTAGACCAAAGGGTTTGTGGTGGAAGATCCATAGCCGTTCATCATGCCAGTCCATGATCCTGGACCGTTGAGATACCCAAAAGAATCTTTGCCTGCATCAGAGCAACCCTGGTCTTGCCATTCGAGGGACAATAGCTGTTTAGGGTTTGGCTTCACATCAATTGAGGCATTATGGTCCTCATTGGCATCGTATGGCAGCATCAAGCGTTGGCAAGAGTCCATTAAGTAGTTATTAGCACCATTGCCAGTGTTGTTGCCATCAAGAGACATAGACATGCCACCAAAAGCTGAGGGGCAAAGACCGTGAAAATTTGGTGGCAACCCATTTTGAGCATTACCATGCATATCTCCCAGCCCAGCACCCATGCCCATGTCACTGTTTCCAAAAAAATCAAAATTCCTAGAACTACCACTCCCAATTATGCCCTCCAGCTTGCTCTCCATCATGAAGTCAATTGGCCTAGGGTTCTCGATCATGCCAATACCATACTTACCCTCCATAAAGCTAGGGTTTCCCAGTGACCCTGCATTCGTCCCAAGCAAGTTGCTGAGGTGGGAAAATTGTACATCTGGAAAAGAGAGTTGAAGGTCTTTGGGGTTGTGATGGTAGGAGGAGGGTGGGGGCTGTGTTTGACTAATTTGATTGTTAACTAATGGGTGGTCATTGGATTTTTTTGCAGAGACTTTCTTGTTCTTTCTGCAGCCTCCACCAACAGGAATGTTCCTAAGAGTGCCTCCTTTGGTCCAGTACCTTCTGCAGGTCTTGCAGAAGTACCTTGGCTGAGAGAGACTGTAGTTGTTGTAGTAGCAGAACTTGGTGTGGGTTGAGTCACACCTGGGGCACTTTAGAGCTTGGTCATGTGGGGGTCTTAGCCTCCTCTCTATCATGGGCCTTGAGCATGTAAGCATGTCCCCAGAGGGTGAAGAAGAAGAATCCATTCCAGACTCCTCGTGAATTGTGCCCTGACATTTTCCGTAAAGCAAAATATTTAATATTTAACTCAAATAAATCAAAACTGCGATGTTAGTGTTAGACGTATACTGTAAAAATTTGTCTTGTTGGATTTTAAATGTCTTTTTCTTTCCATTCTTTTTGTTCTCTTCCTAGTTTTCTTTTTCTTGGCTTTCTCGTCTTTTTTTTTTCTCCTTTAATTTGGTCCAACCAACTCTCACATTGCAAAACAAAAAGGTTTCAGAGGGTGCAACACATTGTTACTGACTTGCAAACCAACGTTAATTAACTAAAACCCTTGAACAAAAACTCCCCGAAACTGCTGTTTACACCAGAGACTGGATTAAAGAGAGTGATAAAAACATATACATTCCCAAGTTGTGTGTGCATGTGTGTGGTTATATAGTATACCTGCAACCAATGATCTGACGAATCCATGCAGACGTGCAAAGAAGATAACCCCATTCACTGCACACACGATGATGTTAACAGAACTGAACTGTGGGAGTGCTACTTGAAGTTTGTGAAAGGCATTGCAGAAGATGATGAAGGAGAGAAGGTGGGAAGAGGAATAATATGTGAAGTGGGAATCGAAGAGAGGGAATTGTATTGTAGGAAAGCATGTGTGTGTGAAGGTGTGGTTGCTACATGGGACGGGACAGTGAATAAGAAGGAAGAAAAAGTTGAGGGTAGTGAGTGAGAGGTGGCATGTTGTCGCAGAGCTACAGTGTGTAAAACCCGTCGGTGACAACAATGGTGGGCCTTAACCTGTCTCTCTAATGCCAATAGCTTATCTCAACTTGACTAAATCTTCACTGACACAACGGACGGTGAGATTTGGATCAGGTGGTGACGTGGAGAAAGGATGAGCGTAGATGGGTATGTGTAGAGAATGGGTACGTCACGCTAGTCGTGTCTGACGTGACAGAAGCTTGAGAATATTTGGGTCCCCGATAAAGAACGCATACCGAAAGAGCACTCTACGTTGCAAGCCCCACACACACAACACAAACACCATTTTGGACCCACTCCACCTCCTCCCACAAGCAAGGGATATATTCTCATTTCCCACACGCGCCATTGCTGTTAAGTGTTTCTTCTATCTCCCCCCCAAGAGGAAAACGTTGATTTGATTATCAGAACCATATGTGTGTGTGTGTGTGTGTATATATATATATATATATATATATATATATATCAATTTAGTGTTTCAAATTTGATACATTTGATAGATTAATTTCATCTTGGACGTTGAAAAAGTTTGTTTTTAATTATTGATTTTGACATTTGTAAGTCATTGGTGTCTAATCTCAGTGAATTTTAACTAATTTAATGTTGAATGTTACATTGTACAAGAAATTCAGACAAATAACGTGGTCGCTCTTCTTTGGATGTGACTCTTCAAATTTAAATTATGTATGTTTGAAATGTAAGTTTGAAAAAAAATATAAATTTTGGGTTTGTTTGAAATGTAAGTATGTATATTATGAATTGTTGTTTGAAAGTTTGAAGAGATATTGGTGAAGTAGGCGGGGTTGGTGTGTGGGGTGGTAGGGAATAAACTGAAAAGCTTTGATCATAAGAGTGACACCCAAAAGAGGAGCGAGGATGCTATCTTTATCCACTAAGTAGAAGATGAATAAGATGGTTGGCGTGAAGAACACACCCCACTCCACAGGAACTAAAGTACATGCAGTGTCAGGTGAATAAAGTGTGTGTGTTCCCATGTTACTTGCCTTCATTTCAATTCCTCCGTTCTTCTCTTTCTTTTCCCCTTGGATGGTCGTTTTCTATCTGCTTTAATCTAAAGATCTGGATTATTATTGTTTCAATCATAACCGTGTTATCATTGCTACTCACTTCTTCTAGGTACTTGTTACTTGTTCTTACCTTCTTCGCCTCTATCAGACAATACTCCACTCAATACCCGTTGGTTGCTCAAAGCTCACAACAGCCACAAAACAAAAACACTAACTCCTATGTATATACGGATCAGTAACATCATTCTTTTAAATTCACCTGCACTCCATTTCAATCATAATACTGCTGCTACATAGTTTTCCACACCCCCAATACTTCCTAATTTTAAGAAACAGATTTCATTTTATAAAATTTACTCATAAATATTATGAATTATCTTTAATAGAGATAAGATATCAGCATCCTTTAAAGTATATATATATATATATATATAGTACGAAACTATACACTAATAAATGATTTCAGAACATATGAGTATAATAATAAATTCAACAAACAACAAAGTAACAATTTAATTTAAGTGATAATTCAATATCACAAATACAGTTACTGCAAAGCTTCATAAAGGTGTGGCCTAATGATGTGCGATTAGCCAATCTTTGGACTAAATGAGAAATATATAGTATTGTTAACTTGCAGCATGATGTATGGCATGTGAAGAAAAGACTTGTGTGCGTATATGATTACAAAGACAATAATGGTGTAATTGGCTTTTTGCCATGTATATATATATATGCACATGTCGTGCATATGATTTATATGCCTTTGTGCATCAATAGGTATCTTGTAAATTAACAATAAGTATCACCTTTTGAGAGAAAACCCCCAAAACTGTGAACATACTTCGTTCTCAAGCTACGTGTTTTTATTTCCTACACCCGAGTTGCTTTCTCGATCTTCTTTTGTTCTTTCCTCTTTTTTTTTTTCTTAAAGAAACCAAATGAAAGTTCAGAAAAGGCCAGGTAAAACCACAAATTTAAAAGCTGTACATTTTCTCAAAAATATTTAAAGCGGGAAATTTTCTTTTCAATGTATTCATTTTTTAAAGGAAAAAAATTTAATTTTTCCCCTTAGAATTAGATACTTATCTTTATATATATATATATACAGATATAAGTCTCTATGTGCGTGATATAAATCTATATATGTAAGTGTCACTATAGATTTTATGCATGGATCAAAAGCCTTAAACGCGGTTATTCTTTCTCGCAGAAAGCAAAATAACTGATGAAAAGCTACATTGTCCAATAGAAAATATTGATCAATATAAGAAAAAAAAAAGTCTGATAAAAGAGGGAGTTATTTAAGTTACTCTATCTAAAAATAGAATTAAACAATCTCGCTGGTGCAATTAATTATTATACCAATAATAAGTACAATATAGAAACAGGCCAAAAATTTTAAATGCCATTGACTTTACTTTTATTTTGGGTGTTAGACAAGTCTCTAAAATAATTATGAATGTAATAATTAATGTGATGAAGAAAAAAAGAAGACAGTTTTGGTTTCTTATATATGCATTTCATTTCAAAATTAACCATGTTCAGTGGTGGAAGAGGTAAAGATAAAAAAAAGCAATTTATTTGTAATATGAATATTATAACATGTATTTTGTTTTTTACTTGCTTTTTATGGTAGTTTCAATTTTATATATGTCAATATATTATATATTTACTTTTTATTTTCTTTATAAAACATTAAAAGAATATAAAATATGGTGATCAACTCTAATACGGCACATAATAACTAATGTCACTCTCCACTCAAATTTTAGCGTCAGCAACATATTCTTACTTTTTCAGTTAATTTCTTACATTATTTACTTTTATTTAATATTTTAAGAAGATATCACCTTCATTTATTATATATTATATTTCTACTAAAGGAAGATGTGGAGACACAGTCAATATTATATTTGTACCAAAATATAAATAAAGAGAATAATATTATATATTATATAGCATTAAGGTTCTAAACCAAGAATAGATGTATGTGGTCCGCGGTATGATTTTGGTCAAAAATTGGAACGCTAATACCTCGTTATGGGTGCAGTCACTTTGGTTCTTTAGGTCCACCATGAGAGTTATTTTGTGTCCATCTCAAAGTTTTCCTTCAATATGTACAGCAATGATGCATGCAAGAAAACAAAATTAAAAAGCCCTTTGAAGACCAATATTATTAATTTCTATTATAAAAAGTTTCGCATTATAGCACCGCATATAATTCCGGATCCTGCTGCCAATAATTGCAATCAAATATATTACGGAGAAGTACATTAGTTTATTGGGTCCAGTGTGACCTCTAAAGTAAAATACTCTTCAGAATTCAAAGCAAGAGATATCTGTCATCTGAAGTCCAAATAATTGTCTGGTCCTGCTCTGCGCATGGGAGAAGCAACCAAACAACTTACATTCCGATTCTTTGCATGTGCTTAGTCCCTCTCCATTTCATGTTACTGTGCTTAAAATCTTTTCATAGTTTCGTTGTTTATTTTTTTTAACACTATAATCTTACACTTTTATCTTAATATTATCTCAACAAATACTTAGCCAAGCGAATCTAACTTTTTTCATTGTTATTCGCAAACCAAATATATAGCGACGAATATTATCTCACGATCATTCATCTATAGGTTGGTGAGTAACATAGTATCTTAGTTATTCATAAACAAGATTTTGATATATTTTAGTATAAAAAAGTTAAATAATTCATTTATTGTTACGCAGTCATTAATTGTTTATATATATATATATATATATATATATATATATATATATATATATCGAAAAACTTGAAATGACAAATAAAATGAAACAGGGAGAATAGTTTTTTTTATCGTAATTCAAGACTTATATTTTGACATATTGTGTTAAATATTTTTCACAGAACTAATTTAAAAATGAGCTATATGTGTTTTAATAAATGAATTTTAAGTCTTATTCAATCTTATAAAATTAAATTAAAAGATAAAATTTTTATTTATTTATATATTATAAATTGATTTTATTTTTAATCAATAGAACTTTCAATTGATGTATATAAATTTTATGATGAGATTAATAAATGATTTGCCAGTGGGTAAAATAATAAATTTATCAAACAACAAAAATTTAGTTAGAAGTAACATATGTTTCTAATATCATGTTAAAAAAAATTTAAATTCAATTTAACGTTATGAAATTGATTCATAAGATAAAGTTTATATTTATATTCATATTCATATTTATATATATATATATATATATATATATATATATATATATATATATATATATATATATATATATCTCGTGAATTTACACGATAAAACTTATGTTAATATGTATCTTAAAAGATATTATTGCAAGAGGATAACACTATCAAACCAACCACCCACATGTATATAATATTCTAAGTTGGAGATGTACATAATTTGGTGTGAGGAGATGGGTTGAAGATGGACCTTTGGATATTATCCAAGTTTAATTTTCACAAATAATTCACAACCAAATTTTATTTACCTTATGCGGAAATTATAATCATTAATTAATATAGAAAAAATTTAAATCCAGAAAAGTTGATGAGATCCATGTGGTTATTGACTACTGTTTGTGTGTTGGAACTTGGCACCCATATAGGTTAACAACCATGTCAAACTAGGCACCCTATATAATGGGTAAAGAAAGAAATTTCAGTGTTTAGCCAATCTAAGGCACAGATATATAAAATGGTATTAACAGACGTATATACGCATGCGCGACACTGCCAACGGTGACTGCGGCGCGCAACGAAATGGGAAAGAGATCTGAAACAAATTCCTATGTCATTGCATTAATTTTGTATGATCACAATCTACCGGGCGGTGTTGGGGTGGACAATATTTTTATCAAACAATGTATGTTTTTTTCAATTTGAATCTGTGTTCGTCGTCGGTTGTCGTTCCTTGATTTGTTCTCTGGCTCGCAATAGCTTCTAAGAAAGAATGATTAGTGTT